GATTTTGCAATCTGAATTTCTGTGCTTTGTCCATATTCATGTTTCTTGCATATTGGTATCGGAGCTGGTTTGATTCGCCACTTACCTTGGTGCACTGGCGTTATACAGACTTGGTGCATTGACGATGCTTCTTCGCAGTTGGTTCTTGTGACGTTAGGCCATACTAGGCGCACGACCTGGGTAGAGAGGTGTGCGCCGGAAGGCTAAGACGACATTGATTGCCGTGGTGACAGGCGGAATGTATGATTGGTGATGAGAGCATGCTGATGTGGCATTCGGTTGAGGTGGCCCTGCATTGCTTTGTGGGTGGTACCGAGGCCAAGACCGGTCATCAAATGCACACTCAGCTCAATTGGTGAGAAATCTGTGGTTGTGGGCAGCTATCTCCAGGTACGTTGTTCCCTTACCTTATCTACTCTCTCAATCTCTTCTTACCGCGAGGAAGTGAGTTCAACTTGAGAGTCCTCTCTTTTGGTGAGGTGCCGTGAGCGCTATCGAGCGCATCGGTCCCGCACGGGGACCCTCCCGACCGCGTCACGCAGGATTTTGCAGGACTTGTCGCGGAGAGCGTTTGCCGCTCCGGCCGAGTGCGCCAGCCGTACCTCTCGCGAGTCCCTACGACAGCGCGTTACCTTGAGAGACGACAATCTTCCAGGAAGCATCTGGAAGGAGAAAGGGCGGTGCCTGTGAAGGGCCTTGGTCGAAGCACTGGGTCACGGTCACCATGCCAACCCAATGGGAGTAGGTCACGCATGCGATGGCTGCTGTCCATTTTGGCACTTTGCTGCACATGTAGAAGTCATGTCGGGTGCGCCAGCCCATATGAGACGTTTACCAGACCGTCTATAAACATTTCTGGTTGGGGACTCAGTGATGATTCTGGCTGTGATCGTCGTCCTGTCTGCAACGTTAAATAATTCCTGCGGAGATGGGGGCTCTCCTTAAAATCCTCCTGATCAGCCAGATCACACTGGGCAGTAAGGCTCGTTTCGTACGAGGGTAAATAAGAGTGGATGGGCTGGCTTGCTCGGCAATGACTTGGGCACAGGGGTGGGCCGAAAACACACACGAAGACACCGTTGCTCATTGATGCTCTTCGGTATGTTGGATTGAGGGGAGGGTAGGTTCTAATTGATGCTCAACTGGAAACACAACCATACCCACTGATCATACATCTGCAACATGGTCTTGGTTTATTATTGATTAGTTGGTTGACAACTGCTAACACCTCACAGACAGATTAGAGTAGGACTGTTGTATACTACCATAGCCAGTTCTATCTAATGCTGCTGTAAGTGAACCAATCAAGATACACCTAGACTATGTTGACAATCTATTGTGAATTTTGTATGCTGCCACTTGATCGGTAAAGTAGGGGACCTGCTGAACACAATTATTTTTAGAAAATTAGGTGTCGGTCAGACGCATGTTGTGGTAGGACTCCACTAGGGGGTTGTAGTACAGACGATGTTTGCCTAACTGATGAGTGGGTCAGACACCGATGAGGGTAGAGATGACAACGTGAGACTTACACGTTCGGGAGCACTTAGGGTCCCGCACGTGTTTCAGACCTTACAACCGGAAGACGAAAGATGGCTTCGTGCCGAACGAAGAGCCCGTGCTCTTGCAGCAGCATTGGCAGCATCAAACGAAGCAGCTAGAGAGCGGGTAGCAGCAGCCAGAGCAACAACAATGGCTAATGGCGCAGGCTCTGCTGCGTCCTCGTCTGCGTCCTCGTCAGGGACCAATGGGACCCAGTTGGGAATGCCACAGGGCACTTTCGGTTCAATGAGTTCTGGTTAGTCTACAAGTCAAATGGCGGGCTCGCAGTTAAGCCCGTTGACCCCACGCGGCAGGGAGCTCCTAGAGCTCCAACAGGTCGAAAGGATCCGCGAGCGGTTAGAGAGGGAACTGAAGCAGGCAACCGATAGAGAAAGAGAGATAAAAAATAGAGCAGCCAGACTTGATATGTTAGAGGTAGATAAGGCTGCGTTAGAGGGTTTGGATGAGTCAGGCGTGTCTGACCAACTGAAGGTATTAAAGAACAATATGCTGTCATTGCATGCGCACGTGGACAACAACTTGGACTTTATGGAGAACTCTCTAGACCAGATCTTGGACCTTTTGCAAAGGTCAGGATTTAGACCAGCAGCACAGTCGCCGTTGCCGTTAACAGCGATGTCAGACCCCTTTCCCGCACAAGCTGGCACACAACCAAGTGGTGCGCCTGCAGCAGCCGCACCGACTGTTGCTTCTTCTTCTTCGGGTCCAGCGGTGATAGCTACACAACCACCGCAACAACCGGTTCCTCAACAGGGACAACCGCAAGGTCAATGGTACCCTAAGACCCCTATGAAACCGCCTCTTGCCCTTCTCAGGCGAGAAGAAGGATGAGGAACTCAACACATGGTTGAGAACGGTTCCAGTATGGGTAAAGGCGAAGAGGACTTTGCAGGAGGAGGAGGTGATTACTGCTGCATCTTACCTTGAGGGTAAGGCAGCCAAATGGCTGGATGGTTTAGTTTCAAAGGCCGGGTACGGACGACGCATGGCGGACTGGGCTAAGACCATTACGTTAGACCAGTTCTTAGAAATGGTAGAAGCTCGTTGACACAATCCACAACAGGCACAAATTGCCACTGATGCAATAAACAGACTAGACCAAAGAAGGTTCAAGTCAGTAAGGGAGCTTACGACTACCGTAGAGAGCCTCATCGTCGTCCTAGGCATAAACTACGATGACCAGTTCTTGTTGAACACATATGTGAGATGTCTCCCAGAGAATCTCAGGAATTTGCTGGCCAGCGAGGCCCGCCTTGAGTATCACTCATTTGAGACCTTGTCTAGAAAAGCCTTAGATTTAGAGGCCACTCTAGGAAGTGCTCAACCTTCTTCAATTGACGCGAGGAAGAAGAAGAGTTCATAGGAATGGAAGAAGAAGGGGGCTAAATTGTTGATGGTTGAGTCCGATGAGACTCAAACAGAGATCGGCGAGCTCATAGACCTGTTGGACGTTTCAGAGTACGACGGCGAGGAGATCGTTAAGGGTAGCACCCTCGCCGCAGTAGTTAAGGCTAAGGCAGGTGGCCGAGTGAAGGGCCATCAAAAGAGTCAAGGGAAGGCCGCCTCCAATCAGACCAAAGTTGCTGATTGGGTCAAGGCACGTCTTGATCAAGAAGTGTGGCGGGACGGCCGAGTGCGTGGTGCTGGTATTAACTGTGGTGAATACGGATATCTACTCATGGTGAAGTGGGCCAGATACCCTCCCCACTTCATCAGATGGTCATAGCTAATGACTCTTTAGTCACCCCGCAGACTCATCCAGACCAAACTATGCTCTGTACGTTGGATGTGTCTGAAGCCTTAGAAGATATGGAAAGCGAGTGGTCAAACAAGGACCCTCGTGAATCTTGGGTGGCACTAAGGAAAAGTCCTAGAGGGAAACATTTCGTAGTGGAAGTTGATGTACGAGGCCGCAAATGTGGTGCCTTCATAGACATTGGCTCCACGTGGAATTACATAAGTCGTGACTGTTTGGAAAGGCTGCGCCTACAGGACCGGGTACAACACCTTAGTAGACCTGTAGCATCTACTTTGGCCAATAAGGAGCACATGATTGTCACAGACTATATCAAGGATGTAGTCTATACCTTCTCCTATGGAGGAGGGGAACTTAATCATAAGATTTCGTTCCTAGTTAGCGACGACTTACCATTCGACATGTTGTTAGGAATGTACTACCTCGAGGTTGCCAAGCCCCAGTTTGACTGGGACAAGAAGGTGCTAAAACATAAGTTGCCCGATGGCAGAACARTCAGATTGACTAAGTTCAAARCCAGTAGCATAATAGATACCTATGGCTGCTTGTGTGCATCAGCGTTCTATAACAATTACAAACAGAACCACTAGTGTATGTCTCTGAGAAAGGGGCGACAGTTAAAACTCCACAAGAGATAGAACACATCGCTGCTAAGTTCCCTGATCTGTTCGAGGAGCCTACAAGATTCGTAGAAAGGGAGGTTGTCCACGCCATAGAAATCATTCCAGGGAGTAAAACCCCCAAGGGAAGGATCTATAGGATCGCTCCGACCGACTTGGATGAACTTCGGCGACAATTGAAAGAGCTGACAGAGAAGGGATGGATGCGGCCAAATACTTCCCCTTACGGATCGCCAGTACTATTTGTATCAAAGAAGGGGGGTACATTGAGGATGTGCATTGACTATAGAGGCCTCAATGCCATCAAAGTGAAGAACACAGAGCCTCTACCTCGCATAGACGACCTATTGGATAGGGTGGAGGAATGCAAGTACTATAGCAAGATAGATTTAAAATCCGGCTACCATCAGATCGCAATAAGACTTGAGGATCAACACAAGACTGCATTTCAAACCAGATATGGTCTTTATAAGTTTGTTGTGATGCCCTTTGGCCTTTGTAACGCGTCGGGTACATTCCAACACGCTATGAATAGGATCTTTCATGACCACTTAGATAAGTTTGTCTTTGTCTACTTAGACGGTATCCTTATCTTCAGTAAGTCTGTCGAAGAGCATGCAAAACACGTTGAGACTGTACTCTCACTCTTGCGACAACACAAGTATAAGGTCAACCTAGAGAAGTGTGAGTTCGGACGTACTAAGATCTTATACTTGGGTCATGAAGTATCCGCGGAAGGGATTAGGCCGGAAGATGCGAAGGTGGCTAGTATAAGGGACTGGCCACGACCTCAGACTGTTACTGAGGTCAGATCTTTCTTAGGAATATGCGACTACTATAGGAATTTCGTAAAAAACTATTCTACAGTCACCTCTCCTTTGACAGATCTAACTCGACTTGACACGCCGTGGGACTGGAGTGATGAGTGCGAGGCTGCTTTCAAACGATTGAAGCATGCACTCATAAATCATGAGGTTCTCATGGTTCCCGATCCTCAAAAGCCATTCATAGTGACCACTGACTGAAGCCAATACGACATTGGCGCAGTGCTGGCTCGGCAGGATGGAAAGAAGTTGAGACCGATTGAGTATATGAGCAAAAAGATGCCATCTAAGAAATTGGCAAAGTCCACCTATGAAAGGGAACTCTATGCTCTCTACAAAGCCCTTGTCCATTGGAGGCACTTCCTGTTGGGACGGTTCTTCTACTTGAGAATTGACCATCAAACCCTCAAATGGATCAAGACTCAACCGACTCTTTCTGATGCATTCAAGCGCTGGATTGAGGTCATAGATCAGTATGAATTCAAGCTTGAGTATCTTAAGGGAGAGTACAATAAGGTTGCAGATGCGCTATCTCGTAGAGCAGACTACCTAGGGGCGCTAGTTTATGAGTTTGGTGTATCTCAGGAAGTAACTCAATCGCTGGTGGGAGCCTATCAGGAAGACCCTGTCACGATGGACATCATCCGCAAACTTCAGGCAAAAGACAAGGCCACAGAGAATGAGTTTGTGATGGTGGATAGGTTACTCTTTCTTGATAAGGCCGGGTGTAAAAGGTTAGTAGTTCCATCGAGTGAGAGTTTGCGCAGTTTATTTCTAGGGGAATGTCATGACGCAACTGGACACTTTGACTACAAAAAGACAAGTGTCAATCTAGTACAACGATTTTGGTGGCCTGGAATGCTAGATGATGCAAAGAAGTATGTAGAAACCTGTCAGGTCTGTCAGCGGGACAAGCCGCGAACTCGAGCACCGCTTGGGTTGTTGAAGCCCTTACCTATCCCCGCTGGTCCAGGACAGAGTGTTTCCATGGATTTCATGGACACCCTGGTGACCAGTAAGAGTGGCAAGAGGCACATCTTCGTCATCATCGATCGATTCACCAAGTATGCTAGACTAGTTGCCATGCCAGAGACCGCAAGGCCTGACCACGTCATAAAGTTGTTTATGGACAACTGGTGCGTGATTTTGGACTTCCAAAGTCAATCATTAGTAACAGAGATGTCCGATTCGCAAGTGAGTTGTGGAAGAAGACTGCTGAGCAGATGGGCAGTCAACTTCAGATGACTTCAAGAAATCATCCCAAAGCCAACGGACAGGCCGAGCAAATGAACAGAGTTGTACAACACTTGCTGAGGCATTACATCAAGCCCAGCCAGGATGACTGGGATGAGAAGTTGCCTCTCATCGCCAGTCTGTACAACAATGCTGCACACATCAGTACCGGCGTCAGTCCTAATCAGCTGCACTTGGGATGGAAGCCTAGATCAGCTCTAGACGTCCTCCTACCTGAAAACCGATCCTCTGCAACTCCAGGCACACTTGAGTATGGTGTGCAGTATGAGAAGTTGCTGCAGCAAGCTGTCGAGCACATCAAGAAAGCTCAGCAAACAATGATTGCTTCTGAGAACAAGCATCGACGACAGTCCTCATTTCAGGTAGGGGAACGTGTCTGGGTCAAGGCTAGTGAGCTAGGACAGGAATTCGGGATCTCTCGTAAACTAATGCCTCAGTATTTTGGTCCCTGGGAAGTCCTGGATGTAGTGGGGGATGAGATGGATGGTCCTACCTATGTAATCCATATCCCTGGACACCTACGCACTCACCCTGTCTTTCATGCCTCAAAGCTTGCACCTTTCGCTGAGACAGATCAATTCCCTTCAAGGAGATCGATGCTGCCCCCAACCATGGATGGTCAAGTGGACATCGACGACATTGTGGATCACAAAGATCTGCTTGTTCAGAAGCCATTGGGTAGAGGAAGACCTCCAAAACCCAAGCGGGAGTATCGCGTCAGATTCAGGTATCATACAGATCCAAAGGAAGATCGATGGTTCACCAGAGAGGAACTGATTGACACAGCTCCTCAAGTGGTGGCAGAGTATGCGAGAATGTTAAAAGGGAAGGCACCTGCGAAGTAAGCATCTCAGCGGACTTTCGAAGCTAAGGGGGATGGAATGTGAGGGTTGAGCCCTCAAGATGGGGCCTCGCCATGATGTACATGTTCTGGGCTAAGGCCCCAGCAAGCCTCGTGCCCGCCCGAGGCCGACAATGCATGCTGGATATAGAGGCCGAAAATGCCAATGGGAAACCGGTCCACTATCTGAATCTGGCCGCAGACCTTGATGAAAGAGGCGCAACTGCATCTCCTGGGCCCCCAACTGCGTCGGGCCTAGGTACAGGTACTGGGGCCCAGGCACATGCTGAAGGGAGGCCGCCCACACGCAACACTGGCATATAGGCAAGCAGGGCGAGTGGGCAGGATCTTGGCCATTGCCGACAATGCCGGCACGCTGCGCGTTTGCGAGGTGCTGCGCTGCGCTAGGCTGAGGTAGGCAGGCAAGCGCTAAGCGGTAGAGCGCTGTCTGGGCGCAGGGCGCTGGCGGCCATAGTCGGGCTGCCTGTGGGCGCAGAGGAGGAAGGGCGAAGGTGGTTCTTCGGAGGTGAAGGGCGTTGTGTGGGATAACAACGGAGAGTGTGGGTGAAGAGGGAGACGTACCAGGTGGAGATAGGAGGTCGGCATTGGTACTGACATCATCACTCGATGGTCTTCAAGTTGTCTGGTTGCTTTCATACTGTAGTTGTAGTGTTAGGTTGTAGAGTAGGTAGGGCGCCTGGCGCCATTCAAGAGAGAGAGCTACATTGGGTTATGCTGTTGGTGTTGCCCTGTTGGACTTGGACATTGACTCACGATTCTTCTGTATCGTTCTCAAATGGATGGTTACTCGGTTCCATTGTGCTATCAGCTCTTGCTTTGACTACTTGGACTAGAGTGTGATTTTGCAATCTGGATTTCTGTGCTTCGTCCATATTCATGTTCCTTGCGAAGGGCAGACTTAGTCCTCAAATCCTTTGAAGAAGAGGACCCATAGGGAAACAAAGACGTTCAGTCGATGATGGAACTAGCATTGGCAGGGACTCATGGTCTGACAGAAGAGATGAGGGTGATAGAGGAGGGCCACACACAAATGGAGAAGCATGAGGAACTAATGGGAGCAATATACCTTCTCATGAATACGCTCCTGCAAGAAGGGACAAGTCATATGAATCGTTTGGACCTGGCTGAAGAACAAAATATGGTGCTGGTAAGTCGGGGGTTACCTTGAGTTGGGGTTGCTCTTTTCCTATGAGCTCATGAGCAGAGATACAAGCGAGAGGCCCCTAAAGTTAAGACCACGAATCGCAGTGAGGGGTGATCACCTTTTTATGAAGTGAAGAGTGAGAAACCCAATGACGGCTGTATGTGGCTGGAATCGACAAATTGATGTTATAGCAGGCCTCCATGATGGTACGGCAGGGGGACAAAGAGGAATGGGCGTGACATACCAAAAGATAAGCGATTTTTACTATTGGGAAGGTATGTCTGATATTATCGTGAAATATTATCGATCTTGTGTACCATGCAAAAAAAAATCATCTTTGAGGTCAGTGGAATCCCTATATCGTGGGTTGGAAAGAGAGGTGGGAGCGACTATCCACCTAGATCTCCTCTTCATGCCCACTGGGATTGAGGGGTATAATTACATTTTCGATGCACAGGATAATCTCTCAGGGTTTGTGGATGGCAAGGTCATTCGCACGAAAACCGGTGAGACAACCACGTTGTATCAACGAGTATTACCTTCATTACCCCTTTGTCAAGGAGTTTGTGACGGACAAGAGATCAGAGTTTACCTGTTTGGATTTGCAAGTGTTGTTGGCAAGGTATGGCATTGTTGAGCTCATTGGTCCCGCAACGGGACCCTCCTGGCCGCGTCACGCAGGATTTGCCAGGACTTGTCGCGTAGAGTGTCTTGCCGCTCCGGCCGAGTGCGCCAGCCGTACCTCTCGCGAGTCCTTACGAGAGGATAGGGTCACGCGAGGCACTCTTTACCTCCACCCACGGGCGTTGTCACCATCCCTTGGGTGGGCGTATCCCCGCGGAGCTACCGGACCACATGCGAAGGTTTTTTGTATGCAATCGCAGAGGTGGCCCAACTGAGGGCGTATCTCATTCGCTGTAGCATAGGGGGTACGCGCAGATAACGCCTGAATTGGACCCGCGCGTGAATCGTCGTTCGAGGTGCTGATCTCTCGAACGCGACCCTACGCCGGTCGACTACGACAGTCATTCTAACCACGCGATACACTTTTCCGCAAGAAACTCGTCCCTACTTGCAATATCGTGCCTAACCCCTTTTTCTACTTGACCCGTAACTTTTCTTGGTTCAAAAAGCAACGGCGCCACACGCAAGCGTTCGCATAAATAGGATGTTGCCTGACGAGTCTCCCTCATAATGACTAGCCATGCATGAAGACATGACCAGTCGCGATGGAGTAATATGTGGTGCCCAAAAAGGTGCGGTCCCATCTGTGTCATGAGATCACATTCGATGCTGAAGCGTCGATAGAAGCGCCCACTAAAAGGGTCAAACCTTTAGCAAGCGCAAAGTCGGTCTAAGCACCCTGCCATCTTCTGCACCGTGCGGTACCCCAAAGGGTGTAGGGTAAGATGGCATTAAGGGCAGAAGGGAATTTGGAGTGGTGGTGAGTTGTCTGGCGCACCACCAGCAACACGCTAACCCTTCCGCCGGAACCTTATCATTCCACCAAAATAACTTTTGAAACAAGGAAAAACAAATCAGATTGTCATATTCGCTCAATTTATAGGCCTGACCTAGGCGGAACATGTGTGCGTGTCAATTAAGGCAATTGCATACAAGGATAGGCCTAGTCGCGCGTTGTCACTTTTTGGGAGCATCTGTCCCATAACTTATTCCACGCAGGGCTTCAGGTGAAATCCACGCGCGGAAATGTATAAGAGGGATGCGCAAGCGAGGGTAATCATATTTTTTAGTTATGCGAATTCTCATGACCAAACTGTCATGGCAACACTTCACTCGTTACCCACAATCGCTCGACCTTTCGCGGGCTTTAGTGTTGCATACGACACTCAAGTATCAGAGATGAGGTATCATGAAGGAAATCTCCTTTACGATATTGAATGACTGAAGGATAAGCCATTCGGCCCTCACGGCGCTTCTGACCTTTAGGTAGAGCGTCGCCATGGCCAACGCGCT